AGCTGAAGACAAAGGCAACTAGCATCAGTGGGGAGAAATAGAGGGCCACAGTGAGCAAGAGAGCAAGGACCCAGAGCAGGGCACACAGGAGTGCTGGCAAGCACCAGGAGCTCTGGCAAGGGCAGAGGGGCTGTGGGAGGGCACACAGGCAGGTCCTGGCACCCAGGGCTGCCATGAGGTAGACACCAGAGATGAAAGCAAAGGTGATGGCCATGTTCAACACTGCCGTCATCACGTCCTGTGAGCCCAGACTGTGACAAAAGCTCCGTGGGCCATAAAATATTATGAGGGCAATGACGATGGAGAACAGGAAGGTGAAGTCAGCCATGGCCAGGTTGAAGATGTAGATGGTGATGAAGTTCCTGCGGATGCGGGTTCTGAGTAGCCAGAGGATGGCCCCATTGCCCACCAGCCCACAGAGGCAGATGAGCGCTGTGACAGGGACTTTGCTCAAAGCACTGGCTTCACAGTGGGTCCAGTCATAGTCATCCTCATAGGAGCCAGCTTGCCTCAGCAGCCCGTGGTGCCAAGCTCTGCAGTAAGCTATCATGCTGGGTTGGCTCCAGCAAGCAGGGCTGGCTCTTCCTGCGGTGGGGAGCGGCATGCTCATTGTGAAACCACTGCTGCTCCAGCTTCCTCTCACACAGCTGGAGGGATGAGAGACAGAGGTGTGTTAGAAAACCTGATGACCCCTTGTAGAAGGATTTTCAGATCGTTGTAACTGTGCCCTATCTTTCACACGGAGGAGCAGAAAGAGAAATGAGAGACAGAAGGGACGGAAGGGGGTTGAGAGGAGGCAGATATGACATGCCTTGCACAGGAGTGCATATGAGGCGAGGAGTGAAAGCAAAGGAGATGCCTTCTTCCTGGCTCTGGACGAAATAGGTCTGAAGGAGGGCAACAACAAGATGATGGGACTGGGGGTGGATCTGATATGGACTCTCAGGTGCGTAATGTTCAATTGATAACACTCAGCGGCTGGGTTCCTTCAGTAAGTCACCCATGTCTGTATTCCCCTACCACCTTTTACCACCAGATTTGTAGCTCCCAATATCCTTCTCCATTCAGATATGATGCAAATTGATCAACATATTCTAAACCAACGAAGGGAGACACCGACTAGGCTAGAAAAAATAACCCAGAAAAGTCTGACCTTTCCTTTCGCAGTTCTGGAGAGCTTCACAGGAGCAGATGTGCTGCAGACTCAGATCATCTTGCCATCTGTTACACCCACAATGGGATCTTCACATGAGGTTTCCCCAAACTCCCATTTGGAAACCGGACACAAGTACACCCTGGAGAGCCTGTGCAGCACCCATCAGTGTCTTTCTCAGGTCCTTCCACAAAGCACTTTGTCATGTTCTCAGGGATTCTCGAAAAAAAAGGATAAAAAAAGAACACTATTTCATTGCATTTGATGGTATCAGGATTCTGGTTATAATCGTCATACAGGAAATGACTAACAAATCTCAGAAGCCAGACCTATGGGAGAAGCGGATTGTCTCTCCGTCAGGTTCCTCTTTCATTTTACTTTAAAGCAACCCCGTTCCTAAAATGGCCATCTCTTTGAATTGGAGGAGCCTGTGCAGGAGGTGATCTTTAGGATCCTGTGCTACAGGCTTGGCATTGCTGCAGAACTTCTGTCTGATTCCAAACTAGGTTTGACACTGGTGTGCCACAACTTCACAGTGACATTTGGCACTTTCCAACAGCATTCTGCTGTGTGCACAGGAGCTAACTGAGGCTTCCCAGGACAGTGAAGTTCAGTGAGATGAGCCCTGCTCAGGCTGGCTTCAATGCCTATGAAATTCAGAGAGCTCCTGCTGCACTGGAGTGCGTGCGTGGCTTTCTGCTGAGATCTCTCCCTCTCTCCTCGTGGGTGCTGCCTTTGCCTCCCCAGCTACAGAACTCCCTTTCCAAATAGATCCTTTCAAGTGCAAGCAGATGATCAGAAGGAAGGCTCCAAGGAATGCCTGCATAATGCTGTGCACATTCTGCTCACTGCCCTATATACACACGTGCTCTGCCAAAGAGCCTGTCTGTCTGCCTTTCTGTCTGTCTGTCCTCCGTCCAGCTGACACAGTGCCAATCACAGGCACTTGTTTCTTTGCCTGTCCCCTCCTGCCTCCCCGGATAAACCCTGTGACAGTGTAAAGATTTAGTTGCTGGATGATGCTGCCAGCTCTGGTCAGCCTGAGGGAGGTGGGTGTCCTCTGCCAGTGGTGCAGGCGGACACCAAGCCAGACGGAGCTGAAAATGTCCCTTATGTCCCTCTCCGTTCTTTCCTCTGGTATGGTGAGGATGAAGGCAGTGGATGCTCTGCTTCTGTAGTTCCCAACCAGCATGTAAATAGCTGAATTGATGCTGCTGTTGATGGAGGCCAGCAGCAGGCAGATGTCAAATATGAAATTAGTTTAGACAAAGAAGTTGAGGAAGAAGTGTACACTAAGTGGGATGGCAAAGAGTAGGAAGAAGAAAACAGTGAGGAAGATCATAGAATGATAGAACAGAATCATAGAATAGCTTGAGTTAGAAGGTACCTCAAAGATCATCTTGTTCTAATTTCCATGATAGGACAGGGTCACCAAGATGACAGCATACAGCCTCCCTGAGTGGTTCTGCCATGAACTAAACCTAAGCTTAATGACAGGATCACTCTGTTCCACCATAAAGGGGCCAAAAAAGCAGAAACTGAGAAAGCACAAAGTTGCAAGAACAACTCAGCAGCCTTTGGAGCGACCCAAATCTTACATAAAGTACACAAACATGGAGAGCACACAGGTGAGGGCCCAGAGCAGGTTGCACATGGAGGCAAGGAACACTGACATGCAGAAGAGAAAGCAGGCATCCACAACAGCCAGATTCAGGGTGTAGGCAGGAAAGGAATTCCTCTGCATGTGAAAGCTGAGAAGCCAGAGGATGGCCCACACAGGCAGAAGGGCAGTATGATACTACTGGTGACATTTGGGGAAAATGGGCTGGAAAGCATCTGATCCCATTATATCCATCCCCACAATCTCCCTAGGTGGTGAGGCTGTGGTGTTAGGATGTGGGTCCCTCTTCCTCCTTGCAGTCTCCTGCTCATCTGGGGAAAGGGAAGAGATGAAAGGGAAAGCAGTGACTCTCAGTGCTGTGATCCTTCCCCTCACTGCTCCACATCCCCAAGGTGCACTGAGGGTCCCTTCCCTATGAACATCCCAAGCAAAGGACCAAGCATGAGGCACCTGCGCCCCTGCAGGGCTGGTGGGAAAGGCTTGGTGGAGTCACTGTCCCTGGAGGTACTCAAGCAGTGTGGAGATGTGGCACAGAGGGACATAGATTAGTGGGTATGGTGGGGATGTGTTGGGGTTGGACCTAGGGATGGCAGTGGTCTTTTCTGGCCATAATAATTCCATGATTCTATGCGTGGGCATTGTGGGGATGGGTTAACAATTGGATATGATGACCTTAGAGGTCTTTTCCAGCATTAATGGTTCTATGATTCCATGATTATATGTCTACCCTGTAGGACTCCGGGTTTGCTTTGCTTCTTTGTTTATAGCAACATGTCCCTGCATCAGAAAGCTCCCAGCCCAGCACTGCCATCGGGCACCTTTCTCTGGACAACCCCACCTTGACCCTTCTGCCAAGAGGCTGACAGCAAGCCCAGGGAGAAACAAAGAGCAGAAAGCATAGCTGGAGTCTGACTTTTACCGTCTCTTCCACATCCAGAGCCAGCTGGACAAATCTCCAAATCATAGGAACTTATGAATGAACTGAATTTAATTAATCCAAATTCCTCTTGCTGCAATACCCAGCGCACCCTGGGGGTGGTTTCTGCAGGACCTCCATCACTCACACTGGCGCCTGGTTGAGACTCATCTCAGTGTGAGAAGCCGGGACAAAGCTCTGAAGGATTCCAGCAGAGCCGTAGCAAGCAGAGATCCTTTCCCCTTGGGCTGCTTAGGTAGCCCAAGTGAAGTTCAGGGATCTTCATGCAGAGCTCTGCTTTGGCTATGTGAGCAAATGTGCTGCCAAATCTCACAGCAGTCACTGTTGCTGTCTCTGAATCTCTCATATCCCTACCCAGATGTCCCTCCCCTGACCACAACCCCTTCCACCCCAGCAGCTCCAAATTCCCCTCAGCACATTCCCAGCCCCATTCCCATCTCAGCCATGGGGGAGCATGCAGAGCACAGCGGTGCCAGCGGGAGGCTGGAGGCTTTTCCATGTGACACAGGAGGATGTTGCCTGATTCTGGTTTGCTCTATGAGGGTAAAAATGGACATCTGGAGGAAAGCTCCACGTTGGCTGCAAAACCTTACCATGCAACCTGAGAATTCCCCTTTTCCAAAAGGGAAAAGCTAAATGCCTACAAGATAAAATGCACTTCCTCCAGCCTACAACAAAACTTCTTGTGCCTCCAGCTGTCTGAAATTAAGCTCCAGAAATCCTGTCCCTTTTTGTTTTTTTCAAGAAAAGTCTATGCAAAGAATTCCAACACAGCACAGTACCAGAGAAGGCATTCTTCTGAGTACTGTGTCATAAAGGGGCACTATCAATAACCAATGGGATCTATGAAGTGCTGCTTGGTTGCTGTCAATTGATTGTTAGTGCCTGAATTAGACCAACAACAAACGGTCATTCCTGGTTCCCCTCTGGTAGTGTATTTCTGCAGAGATTTTTTGCAACAACCCTCCTGCTCTTCCCAGAAGAGCTTTTAAGAAGTACTCCACCACCCTGCCAGACTCACAGGCATCACCATCACTGCCAGCATCGCCAACACTGCCGGCATCACAGCAGTAACAGCCCTATGAGGAAAGGTGAAATGTGAAGCAGAAAGAAGGGTCTCAGAGGTGTCAGTCACCGTGCAGGAAGAAGTGCGTTTAATCATTAAAATTCCTGAGGAGCAATTCACAAATGTCTGCTTTGATGGTTTCTGGCAAAAGCCACTTCCTTTGTGGGAAGACACACGCACATAGGAAAAAAAAAAAAAAAGAGAAGATAAATAAAAACAAGGAAGCAGAGCTCTGACGCAGTGGTGGTTACAAAACATTTCTTGATACTGTCGGGACTCCGCCGCGGCTGGAAGAGTTTGTGTGCATGGCACAGGGGAGACAAGGTGAAGAGCTGAGGGGAGACCAGAGGCATTCAAGGAACTGGGGAGCATTCTTCGTTGTACGAGTGGCCTGAGGGGATCTGCTTCAGGATATGGATCCAAAGGCAGCATGAGATGCTGAGACTGACACGAGTCTGCCCAAGCATGGATGGAAGGGCAGCCCTACGCAGCAGCTTCATAAAACTTACAGTTAAGTGCGATGTTTTCCCTCGTCCTTCCCCATCTCCTTTGCTCGCTCCCTCCCTGCTCTCCCGGGGAACAGAAGCACTTCAGGGATCTTCCTCTGCATTTCTGCAGCCACTGGCAGTGCCCTGCCCTCTCTCTTCCCTGTGCCTCCGCTCTTCTCCCTACCCCATCCTGCCATCTCTCAGGGTCCCACTGTTGCCCCGCTCTGCCCACAGCCGGAACCACCTCATGCCATGGAATCCAGCCACGCCACCCCGTTCCCTGCGCTGCCGACGGGTGCTGAAGAGAACATGTGTGAGATGGATGTCTTTGATGCAGCTGTGGATGGGGCCACGCTGCTCATCAGCCTGTGTGGGCTGGTGAGTAATGGGGCCGTCTTCTGGTTGCTCAGCTGCCGCATGCGCAGGAACCCCATCACCATCTATGTCCTCAACCTGGCCATGGCCGACTTCACCTTCCTGCTCTTCATGCTCACCTACACCCTCCTCAACCTCCTGAAAGACCTCTCCTGCGCCACGCTGCCCATCTCAGTGAAGCACCTCGTATCACTCCTCCTGCTCTCACTATTTGCCCACAACATGGGCATGTATCTGCTGGCGGCCGTCAGCATCGAGAGGTGTGTGTCTGCCTTCTACTCTGGCAGGATCCACTGCTGTCGTCCCCAGCACCTGTCAGCCATGGTGTGTGCCTTGCTCTGGATCCTCTCCATCACTGTCATTGCCGTGGTGACATCCCTGTGCCTGTCCCACCAGCAAGAGCAGTGCCGCCTGGCACTCATTGCCATGTACATCCTCAACTTCCTCCTTTTTGCCCCATCCATGGTTATTTCCAACGTGATCCTGCTCATTAAGGTGCTGTGCAGCTCCAGGCAGCGCCAGCACAAGAGGCTCTACATCGTCATCTTTCTCACAGTCCTCTTCTTCCTCCTCTTTGGAGTCCCCCTCAGCATCTGGAATTTCATGCAGCATTTCAGCTCTGGTCCACTTGGGCATCACCAGGTGGTTTTCCTGCTCGCCTGCATCAACAGCAGCATCAACCCCTTCATCTACGTGCTGGTGGGGAGCGGCAGGAGGCAGTGCTCTTTGGCATCCCTCCAGGTTGCCTTCCAGAGGGTCTTCGAGGAGCTGGGTGATGATGGTGTGGGCAGTGACAACTCCATGATGCAGACGCTGAGCTCAGCCCCTTGAAGCTTTTCCACTGCTTTACATCAGGAGAATCCTGGGGAGTGCGGGGGGTGGGGGGGAGGGTTTTTTTGTGGAGCACAATCAATAAATATCTGCTTTGTATCCTGGTATATCACTCTCTCACTGCACCCTCGGGTGCGTGATGGTGCAGCCGTGATGTCCCTGGGTGTCCCTGAGGTCCCAACCTCTCTGCTTTTTGGGAGGGACTGACCCACATCCAAGAGGATGAAACACACTCAGTGTCCTAAGCCCCCATCCCCAAACCCCTGGGCAGCCCCTCCCCAGCCGTGCTTCCTCCTGCTGCCAGCAGACACCATGTCCACACCCCAACCCATGTGCGGTGCCAGCCACCCGCGTGCCTGTCCCCACTCTCGTGACCAAGAGAACCCCAACCTCACGCTCCCCACCCCCGGCCATGCAGAAGAACGAGAGTCAGTGGCAGAACAGCAGCTTTATTGGGGGGCAGACCCAGAGATGCCCGCAGCAGAATAGAGCCCGGAGGCGGCAGATCCTCCGCAGAGCTGCGAAGCTGTCGGTATTCCTCGGGACTGCAGCAGCAACTGAAGGGCAGCAGCGTTCTACACTTTCCACGCTGGAGGGCAGCAGAGCCCCGCGCTCCGCATCGGCCGGGGCTGAAGAACGCGAGGACGGAACGGGACCGGAGTGGGGATGTGGAACGGGTGGGGATGAGACGGCGATGGGAGTGAGGGTGGGGATGGGATGGGAATTAGATCGGGATGGGTACGGGGATGAGGATGGGATGGGATGGGATAATGGAACGTGGATCAGGATGGGACTGAGTAGGACAGGAATTGGGATGGGTGCAGGTATGGCTGTGGAATGGGATGTGGATGCGGATAGAGATAGGATGGGGTGGGATGAGGATGGGAATGGGTGAAGATGGAATGAAATGAGGGTGAATATGGGGACAGGATGGGGACTGGGGTGGGAAGGGGTGGGATAACAAGGAAGGAACAGGTATTGGGGTGGGGATGGGAATTGGGAGAGGATGGAATGGGACAGTACATGAGAGCATGAGGACAAGGACGGGGTGGAGATGGGGATGGAGATGGGGACAGACATGGGGGCAGGTCAAGGACGGAGACTGAGAGAGGGATAGGAATGGGATGAGACCGGGATAGGAAGGGGGAACATTTGGGGATGGAATGGAGACAAACAGGAGTGGAATGGGACAGGGACAGAAATAAAATACCATGCAAAGACACATCCTGATATGCAGCCATGGGAGGGTGACTGCAGGCCTGCCCATGTGAGTGTGGGCACGCAGCTAGGATGGGGACTGTGCAGACAATCGCAGTAGGCTCTCAGGTGGAGATCACAGTGACTCCAGTCTCCTCGAAGACCCTCTGGAAGGCAACCTGGAGGGATGCCAAAGAGCAGTGCCTCCTGCCACCACCCACCAGCAAATAGATGAAGGGGTTGATGCTGCTGTTGATGCAGGCGAGCAGGAAAACCACCTGGTGATGCCCAAGTGGACCAGAGCTGAAATGCTGCATGAAATTCCAGACGCTGAGGGGGACTCCAAAGAAGAGGAAGAAGAGGACTGTGAGAAAGATGACGATGTAGAGCCTCTTGTGCTGGCGCTGCCTGGAGCTGCACAGCACCTTAATGAGCAGGATCACGTTGGAAATAACCATGGATGGGGCAAAAAGGAGGAAGTTGAGGATGTACATGGCAATGAGTGCCAGGCGGCACTGCTCTTGCTGGTGGGACAGGCACAGGGATGTCACCACGGCAATGACAGTGATGGAGAGGATCCAGAGCAAGGCACACACCACGGCTGACAGGTGCTGGGGACGGTGGCAGCGGTACCAGAGCGGGCACAGGATGGACACACACCTCTCGATGCTGACGGCCGCCAGCAGATACATGCCCATGTTGTGGGCAAATAGTGAGAGCAGGAGGAGTGATACGAGGTGCTTCACTGAGATGGGCAGCGTGGCGCAGGAGAGGTCTTTCAGGAGGTTGAGGAGGGTGTAGGTGAGCATGAAGAGCAGGAAGGTGAAGTCAGCCATGGCCAGGTTGAGGACATAGACAGTGACGGGGTTCCTGCGCATGCGGCAGCTGAGCAACCAGAAGACGGCCCCGTTACCCACCAGCCCACACAGGCTGATGAGCAGCGTGGCCCCATCCACAGCTGCATCGAAGACATCCATCTCACACATTTTCTCTCCAGCACCCGTCGGCAGCGCAGGGAACGGGGTGGCGTGGCTGGGTTCCATGGCATGAGGTGGTTCCGGCTGTGGGCAGAGCGGGGCAACAGTGGGATGGGGCAGCGAGCAGGGTGGGGGCACTGCGGAGGACAGTGGGGAGCGGGGGGGCTGCAAGCAGTGTGTGGGCACAAGGCGAGGTGTGGGTTTGCCCCATCCCTACCTTCTCAGGCAGCAGCCTGGGGCCGGTCCTGGCAGGGCTTTTTCGTCTGGATGAGAAGATCTCGAGTCTCCGCGTCCCCAGAAGGCTCCCTCTGGATGATAGCTGCTCTCTGGGTACCGCTGCAGGACCACGTCAGGTTGCAAGGAGTGCTGGGCAACCCAGCAACAGCAGCTGCAGCACCAAGCCTCTGCACTCAACAAATTTCTGTTGGTCTTGACAGAAATGTTTTGTCTGAGAGAATACCCCTGAGGACAAATACTGCAGCAGCTTCATCTTGCTGTGAAAGAATCTCTGTGCTTTTAGGATTCAACCTGATATCTCATTAAAGTGGCAATTACCACCTTCCTAATTGTTTTATTGCATTGCCATCTCCTCCCCTACTCTTCCCCAGTGTTGGCATCCTTCTGAGATTGTTCATTACTGTCTGCATTTGCCTGCAGCTCGCAGGCATGGCACCGTGGTTCCATCCACATTGTCACACAGCAATGGGGAACTTTGTTTTGGGTCCAGAATAGGGAAACAGGGACATCATGGGAAGCAGCTCCTTCCTCAGGGGGTACCCAGGTGCTGAGCACCTGCTGACCCCAAACCCCTCAGCAGTAGGACAGAGCCATGGGTGGCACTGGGGAGCACTGGGACAGGCCTTGAGGAGGGACATAGCACCCCAGTGCATCACCTGCTGTGACACAGGGTGGCACTGGCAGGGCTGTGAGTCACTCCCTCCCTCCGCCCTGGACTTTGCCTCTTGCGGATGCTCGGGGCAATAAAACTGGGAGCAGGGAGGGAGTGGGACAGGGGTGAGGGCTGGGAGCAGTGTTCAGGGCGGCCCCGTGCCTGCCCCCACATCCCAGCCCACAGAGTCCCATGCAGCCGCTGTCTGGAAGTCAGAGCTCGGCCCCGGGGCCCCCTGAGCCCACGGTCGCTGAGATCAAAGCCGTTGTGGTCGGGGATGGGGGCTGTGGGAAGACATCTCTGCTGATGGTCTTTGCCAGAGGGGACTTCCCCAAGGTGAGGGGCCCAACGCCCCCCCAGCGGCACCGGGGTGGGGACTCCAACCCCAAGGATCTGCCCGTGCCACCTCCTGTCCCCGCCAGGTCTACGTCCCCACAGTGTTCGAGAAGTACACAGCCTCCTTCCGGATCAGCGGCAAGCCTGCCAAGATCCACCTGTGGGACACAGCAGGTGGGAACAGAGAGACAGCCCCATGCTCAGAGTGTCCCCAGCTGGTACCCCCTGGGCTGGGGACAGGTGGGGTTCCTCTGCGGGGAACCTGTGTGTGACGGGTGGCGTCTGCTGGGGCATCACAGGGCAGGAAGACTACGACAGGCTGCGCCCGCTGTCCTACTCAGACACCAACGTTGTCCTCATATGCTTCGATGTCACCAGCCGCAGCAGCTACGACAACATCCTAACGAAGGTAACGCAGCCCCGCAGCTGCTCCAACCCCACAAAGGGGACATGGAGCCAGGGCTGCTGTCCGCCCCGCTGTCTGTCCCAATGTCTGTCCTTATTCCTGTCCCATCCCACTGTCAGTCTGTCTCTCTTTCCGTCCTGCACGTCCCTCTGCCTGTCCCACTCCCACTCCCCATCTCCTCCCCGCAGTGGTACCCGGAGGTCAACCACTTCTGCAAGGGTGTCCCGATGCTGCTGGTGGGCTGCAAGACCGACCTGCGGCAGGGCCACCACGAGTCTGTCACCTTCCAGGAGGTCAGTGCCACTGCCTGCTGCGGGGGGGGGGATGCGTTCCACGTCCTCCCCCAAGGCTCAGCACCGCTGCCCGCAGGGGGAGGCCATGGCCCGGCAGGTGCAGGCTGCAGCCTACTTGGAGTGCTCAGCGCTGCACCGGGACAATGTCAGGGATGTCTTCATTGAGGCCTGTACCATCGCGCTCCGTGGTGCCCGTCGGCCCCGCCGCAAGAGGTGGCCCCGCAATGGCTGTGTGCTCTGCTGAGTGCCAGCACCATGAGGCTGAGAGGAGGGCAGCCCCGGTACACAGGCCGCCGGCACCTCCCGAGGGCTGGGAATTGACTTGGGGATCCCTGAGCCCTGCTGGACAGGAACGGATGCATCCCCTTGCAGCACCATTGTGGTGTGGTATTAAAATTCAGAGATCAGCGTGATGTGGTGTTTGTGGGCAGCCCCGGTGCACGGACGGGACGGGTGGGGATGGGCTGGGAATGGGATGGGAATGGAGGTGGAGGCTGAGACAAGATGGGACGAGGATGAGACGGAGATGGGATGGAGATGGTGTGCATTAGGTGAAAACCAACTTAGAGGAAACCAACCTCCTGTTCCAACCTTTTAAAATGAAATTTTAGCATGTCAAAACGTCAAGCAGTGATTTCTGTTCCACTTTCACGAGGGCTGCTCTCAAAGCAACGTCCCTGGGTAACCTGACCCTGCCGCAGGGTCGGGCAGTTGGAGACGGATGCTCTCTTCCCGCCGGACCGTTCTATGGTTCTACGATCTCCAAGGACTCTTCCTACACAACCACGCCGTGGCCGTGTGTGCTCACACGTGTGCGCGTGCACGCACAGCATCACAACACGCGCCCACCCGCGCGCGGCTCGCACGGTACGTGTGTGCACTCCCGCACGCACGCAAGCCGACGTGCGCACGGCCGGCCGCGGGGGCGCGCTCACACGGAGAGAACGAGAGGTTCCCCGCGCGCATGCGCGGAGCCGTGCCCACGAGGAGGCGTGGCCAGCGCGCCGTCTCGGAGATACGGCCAGTAAGGCGCCCGCGGACGCGCGCATGCGCGCTCTCACCCCTTCTCTCCGGCGAGGCGGGGCCGGAGGAACCGGGCACGGGGCTGCGCGTGCGCACGGCGTCCGCCGATGGAGGGGGCGGGGTGGGAGGGGGGCGCGGGGCGGCGCAGGCGCAGTGCGGCGGCCGAGGCAGTGTGTATGTGAGGCTCTGACGGGTTCAAAATGGCGGCGGCGGCTCCTGTGTGAGGAGGGGAAGCGCGTCCCGGGCGGGGAGCGGGCTGGCGGCTGACGGGAGGGAGCGGGCGGCGGGGAGCGGGAAGAGGGCTCGGCGGGC